TGTGCTGTGATTATCTCCACATAAAAACATGCACTGCTGCCAAAACCCAGAGGGCACAGATGGGTTAACAGCTCTCCTGCCCCAGCAGAGGCTCTGGGACACGCTGAGCCTCACTCTGCCAGTGGCACATGAGCCCTCAGCCCACTGGGGTGGTAAAGTTAATTTCATCCTGAGCTCTGCAAAGAGATGTCTGGAGCCTTGGTCTGAATCAAACTAAGTTCTCATCAGTGTTAGTAGGCAGGAATGTTGGCTGCCCCTCCAAGGGACCTCACCAGGCTGCAGGGAAGCCCCCAAATGCAACAGAGGCAAATACAAAGCCCTGCACCTGGATGGAGGAGTCCCAGTGGTCAGAAAGTAGCTCAGCTGAAAAAGTCTTACAGTGACCTGGTGGGTGAGTGAAGAGGTGTCAGTGCAGACCCAGAGGGGAGGTGGTCAACCCCTCCTGGGTGGTGCCAGAGCACTGCCAGAAGATCTGGGGAAGGGATCCCACAGCTCCACCTGGCACCTGCAACAGTACACCCAGGACTTGGCATCCAGTTTGGGCTTCCTGGGACAGAAAAGGCACAGAAAACAAGCTCAGCAAGAGAGTTAGGGGCTGGAGCACATGGCAAGATATACAAGGAGCAGCTGGTGCTTCTCAGGGAGTTCTTCACGCCATCTCCAGACACCCAGCAAGGGGTTACAGACAGGACAAAGCCAGACTTCCCTTGAAGGTTTGCATCAATGGGACAAAGAGCAGTGGATAAACTGCAGTAAGGGAACTTCTGCTTAGATATCAGAGCCAAACGCTCACCCCGTGGCTGGTGACACTGAACTTGGGACCAAATAGGGTGCAGAGTAGTTGCCCAAAGCTCTGTGGATGTGTCCCTCAGGGATCTGCTCTGAGCAGGGGCTGGACTGGAGCCCCTAGCTGTAGCCCCCTCAGGGACTCCTGAGTCCCTTTGCCCTTTGTTATGCTGGCACCCACTCTGAGACCAGCAAGAGCAAATTGAGGATCAACCTCAACAAGAAAAAAATCTAGCAGAAATCTCAACCACCACCTTCCAGTCATGCCCTGGGTGCATGATGTCCATGATCCAGCTCAGGCTGTGTACAAAGCAACCAAGCCATGTCCCCAAACACTGATGGAGAACCATCAGTAGGGAGTGTCTGCCTCTGCTCCACAGGGATGAGCCAGGCTCCTCCCTGAAGGACATGACCCAGCATGAGGAGAGCCCCCTAGACACTGTCCCTTGGCCCCATCCTGTGCTCAGTAACGAACTGGCAGCACGTGACTTTCTGTTATCGATGAGATAAAGCCCAGCACACACCACAGAAGGAGCCCACAGAAGCTGTGGGAGGGAAGGAGGAGGATTTCCAGCTCCCAGGGCCCTCTTGGCTGCAGAACACTCTGCCCCTCGTACTAGCCTGGGTGAAAGACCCCAGGCTGTGTCACCAGGGTGTCACCAGCACGAGAACCCTGTCACTGGCTCCAGCAGCGAACGGGGGAGATGAGCTGCAGGGCTTTTGAAACCCCCCTCCTCCACACACAGCCACAGCTGAGCCAGGCTTCAAACCCACCCAGCATCATCCCCAAAACGCTTCACGGCAGGAGGGCTCCTCACCTCCAGGCTCACAACAGGGGAGAAAGCACCAGGACTCTCCCCAGGTGTCACCACTTGGCTTTTGCTTCCAGGCTCCTGCTGCCACTGCCAGGGCACAGCTGCTGCTTGACCCTCACCTCCACGAGCATGGGAAATGCTGGCATTGCCCTGGCCTTTCCCTTGGCACAGGAGCAGCACAAGGATGAAGCACTGCCACAGTCCCCGATGGCTTGAGCAACCTGCAGAAAACTTCCTGAAGTTCCCGTGCTGAGGGAGGCTCCTGCAGGGAGCCAGGGCAGTCACCTCCAGGCTCTCCAGGGCAGGGACAAGCAGCCTCTCTGCCAGTAACCTGGGGTGTGCAATCTGCAGCCCATCTGCCAGGAATCAGGGCTCACCCAGCAGTCATACTTCCCTTTTTCTGCCTCCTCCCACCAAGATTTCTTGATTGCAGCCTGGCCACTTTTGTGCACCTTGTTACTTGAGATTAAAGAAAATGAGACCAGCAACATCCAGAGATGCACAATGAACACACAGGGGCTAAGAAGGACAAGCTGCCCAGCAGCAGTCTGGGCTTCATGGTGGTGACCCCTTGTTGCAGGCACCCTTTGAAGCAGGAGCATTAAACCAACCCCAAGGTCAAGGCACTTCAGCACAAATATCTTTGATGGTAGCGAAGGAGAAACGTTCTTCCACAAAAAATGGTTCATGATGGAAATTGGCTGCTCTTACTAAAATTTTCCACCCACTTCCCAGCCTGAGAACCAACACACGTGGCTCAGGAAAGGGACAGCCCCCAGCAGGCATGATGCTCAGAGACAGAGGCTGCCTTCACTCCCTGATGTGCTGCAGGCACCACAAAGCCCTGGTGAGAGGATGAAGGCTCAGCTGGCCCCAAAACAGAGCAGACCTCAGGGACAGGCCTCCCACACCCCCAGGTGTGTTTATCCAGCCTCTCCTCACCCCCTGCCCACCAGAACTCGATCTCAGTCCCCCTCAGCTGTCAGCTGGGGAGCTGCAGACCCCTGTTTCCTCTGGTCACCTTAAGATCACTTTCATTTCCATTTAACAGGCACGTGCAAAGGGAACAAGTGATGTTAGGGGACATTTTTACTGTATTACCACAGCCCAGGTTTAAATCTCCCCTGAGCTAAGCAGCTCCAGCCTCTCTTTATCTCCTCCCCAAAGCTGTCCTGCTTCAATCCACATGACTGGAAGTCATCTGGGGCAAAGGGAGAGGCAGCTGCCCAACACCAAAATACAGCCCCAGCCCTGCAGAGACAACCCAGCTGCCACTGGCAGGGGCACGTGTGCTCTGGAGCCCCAGCAAGGTACTCCCTCTGCTCCTTGCCAAGGAAAATGCCACATAAAACCATGTCACCAGGTGGGACCTGAGCTGCCTGCACTGTGCAGGGACACAGTGACAATAAATCACATTGGTAGGGCTGGGTGTCCACCTCCAACTGCCCCTGCTGCAGCAGGCCTCAGGCACTTCTTCCAAACCACCAGGAAAAGCCTTTCCTAATGACCCCCAGCCATGAGATCTGGTTAATCCCTTCTCTAACACCCTTCAAACCCCCAGAACTCCCTAGGTGCTGTAAATATACAGGGTCCTGTTGCACTGCCCAGGAGGATTACTTTTATTTTCACCCAAGACCAGCTGCCATGGCACAGCTGCCTCCTTCCAGCTGCCATTCCCTGCTCCCAGAGCACCACACAAGGCTCTTCCAGCCTAACGAGCCCTGCATTTCCCTCTAATTAGCCTGCTGTTCTGACTTGCCCAGGAGCAGGGCAGCACAGAATCATGCTGGGCCAGACATCCCTGCTAACACCTGCCAGAATCTGGCACTGCTCCTCCTTGTCTAAGCTCAGGTCTCCCAGAAAACTCTCCGCAGGAAATTCCAGATGCCACCTGGAAGCAATGCCTGTCCCACCTGGTGCTGGCACAAAAGTGCTCCGTGGTCCCATCCTGACCTCCCATGCACACCTCAGCCCAGCACAGCCCTCAGCTTCACTCGGGACAGGTGCTGAGTGCCTCACTTTTCCTCCCTGAGCTGCATGAGGGGGAGAGACCACCAGGCAGGCAGCCTGGAGGCACACTGGAGAGAAGTTCTCCTCACTTAATTAGCCAAATTAACTTGCCAGAAGGAACCGGCCTCCCTCTGTGACATGGCCCACCTTGGACCTGCTTTCTGCCAGGGGAGCTCCATCCATCCCACAGGACACCCTGCACCACTGCAGCATTAGAGGCTCTCGTGTCTGAGCCCTGCCTGGTGTTCAGCAGCATGTCAGGCAACAGGCTCTCACAGAAAGACATTTTTAGCAGAAATTCATTTAGCATTAATTAATTGTACATGTACAGATACAGACAGAACAGGGGGAATGGCTTCAAACTAAACAAAAGGAGACTAGATGAGAAGTCAGTAGGACATGAGGGTGGGCAGGCCCTGGCACAGGGTGCCCAGAGCAGCTGTGGCTGTTCTATCCCTGGAAGTGTTCAAAGCCGGGTTGGACAGGGCTTGGAGCAGCCTGGGCTGGTGGAGGTGTCCGTGCCCACGGCAGGGTAGAACAGGATGAGCTTTTAGGCCTTTTCTAACGCAACCCACGCCGTGAGTCTCTGAACGAGGAGAGAATCGAGCCCCAGCGGGGAGGAGCGGGGCTCTGCTCAGCGCAAGTCCTGCTGCAGGGGCCGTCCCAGGGCGGAGGAGCAGAGCAGGGACGGAGCCGGCTGGGCACTGACTCAGCCCCAGCTCAGTTTTTCCCCCACGAGTGCCCCGGCCATGGCTGCCCCCGGCCCCGCGTCCCGGCAGGTTCTGCTTTCCCAGCCCGGAGCGACCCCGGCCGCCCCCGCCCAGCCCCGGGCAACGAACGCGGCTAAACACGACCGGGGACTGAGGGGAAGGGGCGCACACGCGGCCCCGGCCCGCGGCCCCGGCCCTCTCCGTGCTCCCTCCGGCGCGGAGCCCCCGCTCCCGGGGGCGGGACCTACCTGCCGGCCGCTGCCCGCCGCACCCGGGCCGGTACCGTTCAGCAGCGGGGTGGTTTCGCCCGCACGGCCGTCCTCGTCGTCGTCGCGGTCGCGGCCGGACCAGGACACCTTCTTGGCGACGTTGGCCATGCGGGGCGGCGGCAGCTGCTCCGCCGGGCCTGCCCCGCCGCTCGGTCATGTGACCGCCGCACCGCATCACGTGTCCGTCAGGGCGGCCGGGGGCGCCCCGAGGCACTATGGGAGTTGTAGTTCCGGCAAGGGCTTCGCGCCCGGACGGCGGCGGGACGGAATGGAATGGAACGGAACGGAACGAGACGGGCTGAGCGGGGCCCCGGTGGCTTTCCGGCAAGGGCTTCGCGCCCGGACGGCGGCGGGACGGAATGGATTGGAATGGAATGGAATGGAATGGAATGGAATGGAATGGAATGGAATGGAATGGAACTAGACGGGCTGAGCGGGGCCCCGGTGGCGGCGGCTCGAGAGGTTGCGAGGCTCTGCCCCACGCACAGCCAGCCGGCAGCACGGCCCCACCGTCCCCGGGAACAAGGGGCTCAGGGAACGGCCGGAGCCGACGCTGCTCCAGCTCTCCCGGCACAGAACTCCGCAGAGCAGACGTTCGGGAGCGAGTGTGCTTCGCGTTACGGAGCAGCACAGCTCGGGTCAAAGCCCTGCCCCGCCGAGGAGCCCCGCGGGCCGGGGCAGCGCACGGCACCGGCGGCGGCGGCGCTGGCTCACCCCGGTCACGGGCTGTCCCGTGCCCCGCTTCCCCTGCTCTGACTCAGCGGCAGGGAACGAGCAGCGCCACCCGCTCCGGCTGCCCGCGCTGAGCAGCTCCTGGCCGGCTGTGAGCGGCACCGAGCGCTGCAGTGAATGAGCAGGACAGAGAGAAATTGGGTTTCTCTAACGTTAGGAGCATTTTAATAGGAACCATGGGCTGTACATCCTCTAGGAGCAGGCGACCTCTGGCTTTGGTCCCAGCTCTGGCTGCCAAGACCCCTTTCCCCCCCGGTGGTGCCGCTCCTGAGACGCCCTCCGTGCTGGGTGTCCCTTCACCCCGGGAGGATTCAGCTCGTGTCGAGAGCGGCACCATGAGCCAGCCGTGACCGCTGGTAGCCGCCACCGTTCCTGCTGTCAGCCTCGTCCAAGGCAGCGCTGGAGGCAGGGACACGCCGCCCTCCGCACCCCGCCCCGCAAGGAGGCATCGGCCAGCGTGAGGAGGGGGCCTCGGGGCAGCCCCCGCCCGGTCGCCATTCTGGCCACCTCCCCGGGCAGGAGGGCCCGTCTCCAGAGAGCGAAGCCAGCCAGGTGACCCACAAAAGCTTCTCCCGTGCCCAGATCCATGCTGGGGCCGTCCTGCCCCCGGCCCAGCACAAGCGAGCCACCAGCGGGAATTTCATAGCCCTGCTGGAAGCCGGAGCCGGCAGCCAGCAGCCTCCTGTCCACGTAGAAGCGGTACTGGCCCTGGCCGGAGCACCAGGTGAGGCACAGGTGGTGCCATTTGCCATCCAGGAGCGGCGCCACCGGGAGCTCCCGAAAGTGCCCGTGCCCCAGGATGAAACGTGCAGAGCCAGGGCGATCCCCACCGCGGCCATGCACGGCCAGCTCGTTGTGCCCGTCCTCGGAGGCGTAGGAGAGGAGAGCACCGAGGCGAGGGGCTGGGGTGGCCAGCCAGGCACAGAGTGACATCGCCCGCAGCCCCCGGTGCGGCCCCAGCCCCAGGACGGCCCCGTGCTCGGCGGAGGTGTTGGGGAAGAGCAGGACGGCACCGATGCGACAGGCGGGGGAGGGGGGCACCGGGGCGGGGGGGCCGTGCCTGGCCTCTCCCGGCTGCCGGGGGGCTGGGGGCTGCTCCTGGGGACCCGTGGTTACGGTGGGGAGCACCGCTGCCATGGTCTGGGGTGCTGGTTCTGCATCCCGAGGACTCTCCTCATCCTCCCCGGGCGCTCCACCGGGCCCGGCAGCAGCCGGCAGCCAGTGCCCTTCCTCCTGCCGGTGCTGCTGCCACCGCCTCGTCTTCGGCCGGCGGGGGCTGGGGGTGCTGAGGACAGCCTGGCCCGGTGGCTGCTGCTCCAGCTGCCTGCCCCGGCTGCGGGCGGCGTCTGGCAGCCCGTGCGGTTCGGTGCCAGCCTCCAGCGGTGCGGCCGGCGGGTGGGTGAGCAGGCGGTGTGGGCTCAGGGCACCCACTGTCCCCTCCAGCCTCTTCAGCCTGCGGCGCAGCCGCCGGCCAGCAGTGGCCAGGCGGGCCAGCTCCGCACCCAGGGCGGCCCGGGCGGCGTCGGCCGCCTCCGCCTGCTCCGCCAGCGCCTGGAAACGTCCGTCGATGTTGTAGGAGATGTTGTAGTTGCTGGCGATGCTCTGGAGATGGTTCAGTGTCACCTCCTGGAGCCGGAGAAACTGCAAGGGAGTGGGATGATGTGGGGCGAGCCCACGCCTCCGTGCCGAGTCCCTGCCCCACCCAAAATGCCGGGTGTCCCCTGGCACAGGCTGGGCAGCACCCCCTCCCTGCCCCGGGCACCCACCTGCTCCTCCAGGCGCCGCAGCCGCAGGAGCAGGGGCCCGGGGCGGGCCAGGGGCCCCGGTGCTCGGGTCAGGCCGCCCTGCAGGGCGGCAGCGAGGATCAGGCAGAGGGGCAGTGCCATCCCCGCCATCCCGCGGCCGGACGCTTTCTGCCTGCACGGCAAGGCCGGCCCTGCCCCCGTGGTGTCCCCCCGGGCAGCCTCCACCACTGATGAGATCCGCAGCCGCCGCTGGCACGGCCCAGCACCGGGGCTCCCAGCGCCGAGGCCCCGGGCCAGGCTCTGCGGGGGCGGCTGGCCCGGCCCTGAGCTCCCGGTGCTCCGCGTCCCGCGGCAGGGGCCGGGCCGGGGGCATCCTGCTGTGAGGTGGGGAAAGGTGTGGGGGGATCCTGGGCACGTGGCTGGATGCGGGGCAGGTCGGACGGAATGGTCAGTGCCGGCAGGACAGGACAGGAGAGCACAACACAGGACAGGACAGAACAGAACAGGACAGGGCAGACAGGACAGGAGAGCACAGGACAGGGCAGGACAGGACAGGTCAGTCAGGTCAGATGGAAGCTGTCAGTGCCGACAGGACAGGAGAGAGCAGGGCAGGGCAGGACAGACAGGACAGGAGAGCACAGGGCAGGGCAGGACAGACAGGACAGGAGAGCGCAGGGCAGGGCAGGGCAGGACAGACAGGACAGGAGAGCGCAGGGCAGGGCAGGGCAGGACAGACAGGACAGGAGAGCACAGGGCAGAGCAGGGCAGGACAGGAGAGCGCAGGGCAGGACAGGAGAGCACAGGGCAGAGCAGGGCAGGACAGACAGGACAGGAGAGCACAGGGCAGAGCAGGGCAGGACAGACAGGACAGGAGAGCACAGGGCAGGACAGACAGGACAGGACAGGGCCGGTCGCACTGAGCGGTCAGCGCCGGCCGGACAGGGCGGTGCGGCAGGGCCGCCACGAGGGGGCAGCACGTGCGCGCAGCAGCGCCCCAGGTGGGCGTGGCTTCAATGCGGAGCAGCGGGGCCCCGCCCTCTCCTTGGCCCCGCCCCGTACCCTTGAGCCCGGCACAAGATGGCGGCTGCGACCCTCGCCCGCCGGATCGGCCGCTCAGGTGCGCCCGGACCCTGCCCCGACCGCTCCCTGCGGCGGGCTCGGCGTGTCCCCGAGCCCTGCTGCCTCTCTGTGCCCCTCCCTTACCGTCAGGGTGTTCCACGTGTCCCCCTGCCGTGGGTTGGGGTGTCCCCGTGTCCCTCCGTGTCCGTGCGGAGCGGTTTTGGGGAGCGCACCCCACAGCTGTGGGGGCTCTGCTCTTCCCGTCCTTACCTGTCTGTGTCCCCCAGGTGTGCTGCCCCTGTGCTGCCGCCTCCCGGCGTGGGACAGGGCCACCCGGCCGCCCTCCAGCCCCCTGCAGCCCCCAGGGCTCCCGCTCGCCCCGTGTCGTTCCTTCAGCAACAACAGGATCCAGGTGGAGCTGGACGAGAGCTCAGGTACGGCGGGTGGCACCTCTGCGGTGTCACCTCAACCCACGGGCACTGTGGGGCACAGGCAGCGTCCCTTCCACCCCTGTCCCCTGGCATGTGTGGCTCTGGGCATGAAAAGTCACCAAAGCCCCAGGTGTTGGAGCTGCAGCTGCTTTGGAGGCTCAGGAAGAAGTGTTTGGGCTTGGAAGTCTCACCAGTTGTGGGTACTTCAGGTGGTTGGTGGTACAGACAAATCCTGGCTGTCATTGTCCCTGCCTGTGCATTGTCCCCTCTCTCGGGGTCCCTGGTTTGGGCACCTGGTAGAGTGGCAGTGCTCCATCAGGGAAGAGCTGTTGGGAATTGCTGTGACCTGGCTACCAGGAATAGCTGTCACGTGCCCATGCTCCTGCACTGAACAAAGGCTCCCAAGCCTCTTCCTGTGGCTTCCCAGGTCCTGCTTTCGGGTGCCTGGGTGTCCTCGTGCTGTTCCCAGCTGGGCATGGCTGCAGCACCCGGGCTAAGCACTCCGGGAGAGCCTTTGGGTAGGGTAGTGCAGCGTGGGCAGGGACACGGGCTCAGAGCCCTTCCCGTGGTGCTGACAGGCTCCCAGCAGGTGTGTGACCCCCTGGACACAGGCTGTTTGCTGTGACAGAGGCTGCAGGCTCGGCCTTCCCCACTGAGCCCAGAGAGAAGGGAACTGCCTGGCACCGTGACCCGGAAGGTGGCTGGGCTTTGGGACACGTAGGGTGCCACCACACATGGCCTGGCCTGTGCTCCAGTCCACCACCCGCTGAGTGACCCTGGCTTGTGGGTGGATCTGGGCAAAGACAGGACCTTGCTCTTGGCTCTGCTGCTCTGGAAACTTTTAAACAGCCAGGAGTGCTGTTGAGTGGGAGCGGGAAGACACAGTTTGGTGAGGGAAACAGGGAGGTGGGTGAAGCTCCCCTGGGCAGGGCAGTGTGAGCTGCTGTGGGGGGATGTCTGATGTCCCTGTGTGTACCCTGCACAGGTGTTGCCATGATGAAGTTCAAGAGTCCCCCAGTCAACAGCCTCAGCCTGGAGTTCCTCACAGAGTTTTCCATAAGCCTGGAGAAGCTGGAGAACAACCGAGCCTGCCGGGGTGTGATCATCACCTCTGTAAGGGTTTGCTCCTCTTTGGGTCACTGGCAAGGGAGGGCCCCAGGCCTTGGATTGGCTCAGGGAAGAGGGGAGGGCCCTCTTGGAAGGGCCATGATCTTTCTTCTGTGCCCTTTTCTAGCAGAAGAACGACAACTAAGTGTTGTGCTTTGTCATGAAAAATTAAATCTGCTTACCTGCCAACCTGACACATCCTGTGATACCTCCTGGCTCACCCACAGGGAGCTGCTGGGAGTGTAGTGTGGGGACAAGGTGGTGCCTGGCAATGGGACAGGACAGGTTTTGTGCTGTGTGGCTGATGTACTCACACAGGGACCCTGACTCTGTCCTGCTTGTGTTGCAAGCAGAGGCCCAGCACTGCATGCCATGGTAATGGGATAATCCAGGCAGTGGGAGCATGGGGAAGATATTTTCAGAACCCCAAAAGACCCTGATTTATAGCACATATTCATCACTTTGCCTTCTTCCAACTGCCAGGCCGAGAGCTAAGGGATCCTTCCCTGGGACTCTCAGTGACCTCTGCCTTTTCCCAATTCCAGGCTGTTCCCAAAATATTCTCCTCTGGCCTGGACATCACCGAGATGTGTGGGAAGAGCACAGAGCACTACACAGAGTTCTGGAGAGCCGTGCAGGAGGTGTGGCTCCGGCTCTACGGCTCCAACATGGTCACAGTGGCTGCAGTCAACGTAGGTCCTTTGGGCCCGCCTTCCTCGGGGTGGCATTGCCACCTGCTGCGGCTGCTGTGGGCTGTGTGGGCAGGGACAACTGAAAAACCAGGCTGAAATTCATCCAGGGATGTATCTGTTGGGGTGTTCAGGCAAAACTCCTGTCTGTCAGTTCTGTGGGGTGTGGGAAGGTATGGGAGCGTGGGATGCTGCAGGCTCTGTGTAAGCTGGAGGCACTGCTGGGTTACATTTCAGCATTTCCAGCAGGTTTTGCTCCTCCAACTGGGGTTTTTGGCCAGCAGGGAAGTGCTGCTGGAGTCGTTGTGTCCATGGATGGGTCATTACATTTTTGGTATCTTGTTTTCATTTTCCAGGGCGGTGCTGCCCTGGCAGCTCACGCTGGTGTCTGTCCACAGCCCCCCACTGAAGGCACTTGGGTTTTCTCTCAGGCATCCTGTGCAGGGCTGAGCAGCATTGAGCCGTGGAAAAGATGGTTACAAATGGAAGGGAAATCTTCCTTATGAGGGGGGTGAGGCCCTAGAACATGTTGCCCAGAGAAGCTGTGGCTGCTCCATCCCTGGAAGTGTCCAAGGCCAGGCTGAAGTTCTGAGCAACCTGATCTAGTGGAAGGTGTCCCTGCCTGTAGCAGGGGGCTGGGAATGAATTGGGCTTTAAGGTGCTTTCCAACCCAAACCCCCCTGTGGTTCTATAAAACCCTGATAAACATCAGAAATCTTCTTTAGGACTGTTTGGAATTAGGTGACTAGCAATTTGGGGGACATCTGCTCTGTCTTCCTGGTGTCTTCTGTGCTCTGGAGTGATCAGCAAGGCTGGGGGGTGTTTGTAACCATGTCCTGGACTCACTCTGTCCTTCTCTCTGCCAGGGGTCCAGCCCGGCCGGGGGCTGCCTTGTTGCCCTGTCGTGTGACTACAGGATCATGGCAGAGAACCCCAAATTCAGCATTGGCCTGAACGAAGCCCAGCTGGGCATTGTGGCTCCCTTCTGGTAGGCCAGTGCCTCCCAATTCTAATATCATGTGTAGATCTCTGGAAAGACTTCCTCTTCAAGGGGTTAATTAGTCACTTGAGCTGGTCATGGCAGTGTGGTTTGTGTGTCAGGGGTCAGGTATTTGCAGCTGCAGGAGATGACACCTCATTTCTGTCCTGTCCTGCAGGAATCTGGAAAGCTTTCAGGCTGCAGAATGTGCTCACATCCCGTACCAAGGACCTCAGTTCTGGCCCTGCAATTAACTCCAGAGCTAGTGCTGGGAGATCTCATGTGTCAGGCTCCGTCTGGGAATAGGCTTTTCTCTGGGTACACACTGTGTACCTGCACAATCCCATCCTATGGAGATCTCTGAAAGCACAGGGGCACTAAGATACTGACACTCAGGCCCTTGTTTGCCCTAGGAATGTATAAATGTACTGTTGGGAAGGAGCTTTCAGTCACAGCAAGTGGGTACCCACAGGCACTGAAAGTAAAAAGAGCAGCTTTTTTACAGAGGAGAGGGAACTCTCTTGGGGTACTACCAAAAATGGCTCTTCTCACACCATTTTCACATGGTGACTGAGCCCACAGCTGCTGTTCAGAGCACTGAACCTGAGGAGAGGGACCAGGATGCTCTCAGAGCCCTGAGTGGGGAGTGGGACCAGGGTGCTGTCAGCTCTTGATGTCTGGGTGAGCTGCCCCTGAGCATGGCTTTCCCTCCCATCTCTTGCAGGTTTAAGGACACGTTTGTGAATGTTGTGGGACAGCGAATTGCTGAACGCTCCCTCCAGCTGGGCTCCCTCCACCCTGCACCTGAGGCCCAGAAGTTGGGCCTCGTGGATGAGCTGGTGCCAGAGGAGAAGCTCATGGAGAAGGCTGCAGCTGTCATGGCACAGTGGCTGGCCCTTCCTGGTAAACTTCTGGCAGAAGAGGAGGGGACCTGGTCTGAGTGGGAAGTGCTGGTGCCTGGAGCTGTGTTTTTCCATTGAAAGGGGAGGTTTGGATGGCTGGGAGGTAGGAAAGCTCAGCCCAGCGGTCCCAGCAGCCTTGGGCTAACAGTGACACTGTGCTAACGTTCAGGGCACGTTGCTCCAGCTCAGCTCGTCCTGCCAGCCCTGCTGAGTCAGTCTGGAGGTGTCTGAGCTCCACAGACAAACCGAATCTCTGTCTGTCAGTGGAGGTGTTAGCCCAGGAAAGCTGCCATGGAGCTGAGTGAACAGGCTGGCTGAGAGCTCCTGGGTGGCTGCCAGGCTGCTTTCGTGGTCTGAATCAACTCTTGGCACTCTGGATGGCAGTGATGGGGGTGTGGATGAGGACAGGCAGACAGCACAGGCATCGTATGTTTGGGCTGCTCCGTGACTGCAGCACAAGGCTCCTGGGCTTGGAGAGGGCTCTCCACAGATCTCCCCATGCCGCCTCTCCTCCTTGCTGTCCTGGTGTTGGAGTGACACCTCACCCTCCAAACTGGGGAGCATATTTCAGCTGTGCCCTATCCTGACTTCCAGGAAGTCCCGTGCAGATCCTTTCCCTAAATCAGAGCTGTGTCTGGGTGCAGGTGGCTTCAGCACCCGGGTGCTGGAGCAATTCAGGGTTCCCAGTGTGTGGATGGAGGGGGTCAGTCCTCATTTCATTGTCACAAAGTGTGTGAATAAAACATCTGTGCAGCAGATATGCTGCCACATCACTGCACCTGGCTCTGTGAGGGTGTGAGCAGATATGTGCTCAAGGCCTAGCTCCACCAGCCCCTGCTGCTCCAGCAGCGTCCACATATCCATGTGGAATGGCACAGGCTCAGGGATGAGCTCGAGGGAAGTGTTGCTGGCTTTTGTACAGCATGGTTGGCAGGAGCAGACTGTCTTGCAGGGATTGAAGGAATTGGTTCAGCTTAGAGCCATAGCAGTTTCAAATACGGAATGTTGTTTGATTGCTGGTATGTATTGGAGGTGGACATTGGGCTCTGGAGGGTACAGAAAGAATGAAGTACACAACTTTTTGTCGTCTTTGCCAGTAGATCAGTCATTTCCCCACTGAGCAGTACAACTATAATTTATTGTATGAGAATTTATCCAGTTCAGCTCCCAGCTGATGGGTTTCTCTTACCCCTTTCCCTGCTGCTTTCAAGAGCACTTTGCTGTGGGAACTATCCCATTAGACCTGCATTTGGTGGCATTGAGAGCTGGTCAGGGGTGAGAACAGGGCGTGTTCCTCATCCTTGCTGTCCTCTCTGCAGACCATGCCCGCCAGCTCACCAAGACCATGATGAGGAAGGCGGTGTTGGACCGCCTGGTAGCTCACCGGGAGGAAGACATCAAGAACTTCGTCAGCTTTGTCTCAAAAGAGTCCATCCAGAAGTCCCTTCGCATGTACATGGAGATGCTGAAGAAGAGGAAGAGCTAAGGATCCAGCTGGTCCCTGGGAGGTCGAGTCACCCTCTGAAACGCTGCAGTAGCTGTTGGTCTCACAGCGAAGCCACCTGCAGTGCCAGCAGTTGGTGACATGCACCTGCTCCCACAGCCGCCCAGCTGCCTCTTCGCTTTGTGCCTGTAGAGTGCCTGACACCACTGCTGCCTTCCCTAAGGGCAGGGAGAGCCCACCCAGCCCCCCGAGGAATGGACAGGGACAGGGTCTCAACACACTGTGGTCTGAGCCTGGTGGTCCTTGGATGTCCTCCCTCCTGTCCAACAGTTAATCGTGAAATGAGGTTTGTCAATAAATCTTCAATGAGGTAGGAGATGGGTGCTTTGTTCCATGGCTTGTCTGTGGTCACAGTGTCCTGGCTGGTGGCCTGTCCCCAGGCTCTGGTTCATGGTGGGCTGGGGGGTCTGGGCACAGCCAGCTGCCATCCTTCTCCAGACCGGGATCTGGGGCAGCCCATGCACATGACTTGCGGATGGGGCTGAGTGGAACAACTTCATGGGGATTGCTGGTGGGAGCTGGAGCTGGATCCTGGTCTGTGGCTGCAGGAGGAGCTCAGGCTGCCAGCTTCACCTCGACTGGGTAGTGGTCACTGACTGCCAGGGCCTGGAGGAAGGCAAGAGGTGGGAGATGTTCAGTGAGCCACTCACCCCTCACTCTGCTGCTGGGGCTCGCAGGGCAGTCACTTGCCCTGCCAGAACCTTCTGCTTGCTGGAGGGGGCACACTGTCCTCAGCCCCAAGACACTCGACACACAAAGCTCTCATGGAGAGGTGCCCAGGTGTGGCTTGGGTGGGCACTGGCAGGGTGCCCCCTGCCCTCCAAGCCCCCATGTCTCATCTGGGGGCTCTGTGCCAGTGATGGGTTGTTGAAGGTTGGCTTGGGCTTGAGTCCTGCCCATGGAAGACAGTAAAAAGCCCTGTGCATCTCTTCTCTTCCCAATGGGGACAGGCAGTGACCCCAAATCCCTTGTCCTGTTTCCACCTTTGGGTCCCTTGTTACCTTGAGCCCCTCAAAGAGACACGGACAGCTCTGCAGCTTGGGCCAGCTCAGCTTTGGTGCCTGCTAGAGCCCCAAATGTGTGATCCTGGCTCACCTCGTCCTGGTCCAGCTGGAAAGCGCGCTGGAAATTGTAGATACCAGCTGAGTTGGAGAGGATGCCTCTCTTCAGCTTGTTGCCACACACCACGATCCTGCAGGGGAGATGTGGATGCATGGTGGGTGCCACTCCTGCCTCTGCTGGTAGCGCAGGGCAGGCAGGGGGCCGCCGGGGTGCCAGGGAAGGGGACAGTGGTGCCGTGGTGGCAGTGCTGACCTGTCATAGGCGCAGTCTGACTTGCCCACGGTGGTGTCGGCGCTGTCGGGGATCAGCCACTTGAAGATGTCGCTGGTGCGCAGGCGGATGGACGGCCAGTCACTTGGCTGGACGTAGGAACAGTCGGCATTGAAGTCCCCCAGGAACATCATATTCTGCAGAGGAGATGGGAGATGTGGGTGGTGGGCTGTTCCTGCCACCAGCCCACCCATGGCAGTGGCAAGGACCACCCTGTCACAGGGCAGGAACAGGGTTCTCACCCCACCACTCCTGCACCAGCTGCGCTCGCCTCAAAGCAGGGTCCCAGTGTGGGTCAAACAGACCCTGGGGCTCAGTGCCCAACCTCTGTGTCCCCCCAGTGCTGGTGACACTCACATCAGTCCCCCACTTGTCAATGATGGCCAGGTAGACGTCGTAGAGCGCATCAATCTCAGCGACAGCATCATGTGGGGCCGAGTGCAGGGGCACCAGCACAAACTCCTTCACCTCTGCCAGGGGAGAGGGATGTCAGCCCCACGGCCACCCTATGCCACAACCAATCGCCACTGGTTCCCCCACTTACTCGTGCTGGGTGCTGAGACCCTCAGGATGAATGGCTCCCGGCTGAAGACATCCTGGGGGTCCTCATATTGGTAGGTGTCCACCACAGACACAACATCTGTCCTGTGGAAACAAAAGGATGGTGACCCTGGGACTTGGTACAGCCCCTTTGTCCCCTCCATGGTGCTGGTGGCCCTGCAATGCCATGGCACAGGCAGCAGCACTGCCAGCCCCGTTACCTGTAGATAAACAGGTACATCTCCTTGTAGTTCTCCCGTCCCAGGGGGCCACTGATCTCATAGTCATATTGGGATGTGGATGCGCTGCAGAGACACAAAGGCAGAACAATGATGTGGCTGGGACCATCCTGGGTTGGCTTTGGCATGTCCAGGAGCTGGGTGGCCCCAGGGTTTGCACCAGCTGGTCCTGTTCTAGAGTCCCCATGGTTCACTGTGTCCTGGTTGTGGGGTGACATGATGTATAGCAGCTCTGAAGCCCCCAGTGCCTCTCCCCTAGGTGGCTCCTTGGGCACAGCATGACGTGGGGCGGCTCCTGCCACCCTTTCTCTGCAGGGACATTCCTCACCTTCATTTGCAGCAGAGCTAAATTAGGTCAGTGAGCAGCCTGGGGCTCTGCAGCACCCAGCGTCACCCTCCCTGCCCTGGCTGCTTTGTGGCCATGCTGGAGGGGACACGGAAGGGGTGAGGACATGGGCTGGGCACTCCTGCTCAGGCACACAAGCTGCCTTTAGACATGGCAGCAGCAGCTTCCGCATGGTCCCGAGCCGTGCCCTCTCCCAAAACTGGGTCAGCACCTAGCTGGTGGAGGGGCTGCCACCCTGCTGTGGCCAGTTTTAGCCCACCTCAGCAGCCCCTTTTCCTCATAAGGTGCCAGAACCACCCCCTTCAAAGCATGATCCACTGCTGTGCCCATCCTGGGATCCCCTGGCCGCTCACAGGGGACCCCAGGTCCTGGGGGTGCAAGGTCTACCTGTCCCTTCCTCCCCCTCTCTTCCTTCTGCCCTGTCCTGTTGAATTTTGGAGACAGAGCTTGCCAGAGCTGTAGTTCCTTTCCATCCTGCATGCTCTGGTGAGCTTACAGCTTTCAGAAGGGATTTGTATCACCTGTATCCCCATTCCCTTCACTGGGTTACTGCCAGTGTTGTTTTCAGCGCCTCCTCCTTGCCCCAGCACATTTCTCCTAATGTCCTATTTTCTTCTTTTCCGAAAATAAACTCTGTGTTGATGGATAACTCTTTTTTTGCCTCTTACTGCTCAGGCAGCCTGGCTTTCCCTGCTGGTGCTGCCATCCCAGTCCCAGCCCCTCTTGTACCTGTTGAGCTGCTCCATGAGCTCGGTGACGGCGCTGAGGTCGGAGTCGCGCACCTCCTGCACCAGCACCACATCGTAGCGGCGCAGGACCTGCGAGGCCGAGGGGGACAGCTCAGGGTGAGTCTCCCACCCATCTCCCAGCCTCCCAGCCAGGGACATGGCTCCAACTTCAATACCATGGGGACTTGCATGTCCCTTGGGGCCAGAGCAGATGTCCCCAGCGGGGCTCAGAGGGACTGTAGGTTGTGCCTGACACCCCAGCAAGCCTTCATCCATCCAGGCAATCCCCAGCACTGTGATGCTGTCCCATCCTCAGCCACATCCCCATGTCTCTGACACAGGAGCCCTGTTGGGGTCTGTCCCAGCACACAGCCCACCCCCAGGGTGCACTGGCTGTACTCACGTTGGTGATGATCTCTGCCACTTCCTTGTTGGACATCTTGGTGTCACCGAAGGCCTGGATGTTGAAGGCACCGATGCGCAGCATGGCAGTGGCTGGGCACAGGAGAGCCACAGCCAGCAGGGACAATTCCAGTGTCACAGTCCCCATTCTTCCAGGATTGATGCTGGGGCACAGGGTTGCAGAGGTGGGAGATGAACTCGGAACACTATTTTGAGTTTGGGGTAGAGGAAAAAAACATGCAGATCCTTCCAAAGTCCTGGTGTGTGACGGTGTGTCATGGTGGGCATTGCCCAGAGCAGGCTGCAGAGCTGGTGTGGGCAGTCTGCCAGCTCACCACTCCCAGAAGAAGATAAATCCTGTCTCACTGCTCTGAGTCTGCCTCTTCCAGCTCCAGGGATCGCCCAGCTCCACTCCCCCACCAGGATGTCTTCGCTGTCACCAGCCCCATCCACCACCGCCAGCATTCCAGGCACCCCAGGCTGTTCCACATCCTTGAACTTCACCACAGCCCCCACTGCTGGAGTAAGGAGCGACTCCTCATCCCAACTTTTCCCAGTTCATCCCAGTCCCACCTGTTTGCAGTTGAAGGCACCAAGCCTGGACCCGTCCTTACCTCACTGAGCGCGCAGCACCTCTGCCCTGCCGGCAGCAGGACGGGCGGCTTTATTCCCAGCCGAGGTGCCGGCAAAGCAGGATGAGTCGGACACCCCCTGGAGGTTTTGACATAACTTTGAGCTCCTTCCCACATTGGGAAACCAAAAATCCCACAGGGCAACAGGGTGGGGCAAGCCCAGCCATCCCTGCGCTGACACAGCAAAGGACGGACAGGGAGACTTGGGAATGCTGGGGCATCCCTGTGGGACTGGATGGTATGTGGAGCTTGGGGGGCTGCCATCTGAGGTGGCAGCTAGACCACAGAATGGGCACAGTGGCCAGGCAGGAGGTGAAGGGCACTGGCCTTAATTGGGTGATTCAGACAGAGTAATTAGAGGGAAGAGAAGGAAATGGCCAGTGTGTGGGTCAGGCAGGTGAGCACCACCAGCCATGGCAAGAGGGGATGGCTGCGAACCCCTGCAGCAGCCCCAGTGTCACCCAGAACAGCCCCACTTGTGACCCAAAGTAGTCCCAGGAGGGCTGGCATTCCCCATGCCAGTCCATGGCATCACCATGGCCCATGGCATCACCCCAGGATGACAACGGAGCTGGCTCTGGCAGCTGCTCTTGCCAGGACTTGCCAGGCTCTCATGTGCACATCCAGGTTTTGTATCCCCACACCCAGTCTCGGGATGAGTCCCGTGTCCCTCGGTGCTGTGGCGGCACTGAAACCCCCTGGGAAGCACCAAGCCCCCTGGGAGCTGACTCACGTCCTCCCTGCACCCTGTCAGTGCCCTGTCAGCGTGTGTGTGAGGGAGAGCCCCACAGCCAGGCAGGCTCTGTCAGGACGTGGCCCTGTGAGCTGGCGGAAGAGCATCCTGCACCCTGGAAAGGCTGGAGGCCCCAGCCCTGTTCCAGAGTCCTGGCTTTTGCCATCATCAGCTGAGAGGGAAGCAGCGCTCACCACCCCATGGGTGCAGGTGTCTTGATGGCAGGAGCCCTGAGACCTCCCTGTCTCTCTGTCAGGGGGCTGAGGGGCTGGGGCACCAGGAGCTGCTGGGGATACTGAAGGGACCTCCCTTCCAGAGCTGCAGAGGCAGAAAAGGCTCATTTTTAATGGAAGCAGAAAGCAAAACACTTCCACAAGAGCTCAAGGACTCCTTGCAGAGACAGCGGGCAGCTTGGCTGGCACCAGTGGCGCGTGGGCTCCCACAAGGGATGCAGGTGTGTGCTGAGGTGTCCTGGCAGCCACTGGTGTGGGGACAGGCTCAGCGGGCTTTCAGGGTCACCTCCACTGGGAAATGGTCGCTGACAGCCAAAGCCTGCGTATGGGGGAGAGCAGAGTCACCCTGACCACAGTCAACTCATAAACCCTGAGCTCATCTGGGCCCACTGCCACTTTCATGGCTGGCTAGGACCCCAACGCTCCACTCCAACCCCCAAAATTTAGACTGTACCCCAAAATGCTCAATCTGAAGGGTTGATTCTGTACAACAGCTGGGGTCAGGCTACCCTTAGGTGCACCTTTGGGAAGAGGGAGCCCTCCCACGCTCCTAGGAGCTATGGTGAGACAGATCTCAATGCTGGTGGGCTCATGCCCCACCCGCCCCTCACTCACATCCTTCATCTGGAGGTGGAATTTCTTCTGGAAGTTGTTGATGGTGGCAGAGCCAGGTTCAATGTCTTGGCGCAGGGCAGTGCCACAAGCGATGATGCTGCCGAGGCATCACAGGGGTGTTAGTGCCCACCAGTCCTCCCCATGCCAGCCCCTCTGTGCCAGCCCTGGCCACGGCACCCACCGGTCATAGGCGCAGTCGGTGTCGGCCACGGTGGTGTCGGCGCTGTCGGGGATGAGCCACTCGCAGGCGCAGAGGGAGCGCAGGCGGATGGACGGCCACTGGGAGCTGGTCACGTAGGAGCAGTCAGCGTTGAAATCACCCAGGAAGATCATGTCCTGCAGGGCAGAGCACTGAGTCCCTGCCCACTCACCTTACAGGGCAGCAAGGTCTCCCTAAAATCTTAAGGGAGATTTCTTGATCTACAAACCCCCCTGAGGTGACCCAGTGTGCAGGGAGAAGCCCCCAGTAATGGCAGGAGGGCCATCCAGCAGCTCCCTGCCTGAAGACTGCTGGGCTGGCACCTGCTCTGATGGGTACAAGAGGCCTCCTGTTCATCAGGGACATGTTCATCCCACCTGCCCACCTGGCTGCCCTGGGGAAGAGCCAAGCTCCCCAATGCTGCTTACGTTGGTCCCCCACTTGTTGATGACATCGGAGTAGACATCGTAGAGCGCGTCGATCTCCTGTGCTGCGTGGCTGGGCTCCGAATGCAGAGGCACCAACACGAACTCCTGCACCTCTGCAGGACAGCTGACCATCAGCCCCTGGCTTAGTGCAACCCCTGAACAGGGAATAGGAACCCCAGGAAACCACCCCAGGCCAAGCCACAGCTACTGGCCAGGAAAAGCAGTTGAAGGGAAAGGGTGTGTTGATTTTGGTGCTGTGCCTGCCCCTCAGACTAGAAATTCCAGTGGGGAGCTGCATGCCTTTGTGCATTGTTTGGGGTTTGCTGCTTGTTTCCCATTAGCATTTGCAAGCCAATATGGTTTTGGGCAGGAGATGGGATAGTGTGTGTGCCCTGAGGAGATTCTCAGGAGATGCAGGTGATGGCAGGGGGTAGGCAGTGGAACAAATTGGGAAATGGGACATGATGGGAGATATAAGGGATGGGGGATGATAGGTGATAGGAGATGGTACATGATGGGAGATGGCACCCAGCCAGAGGAAGTAGGTAGTGGTATATGGCACAAGATGGGACGTAGCACGTAATGGTATGTAGGACACAATGGGAAGCAGCTGGAGAGGTGAAATGGCACATAACTGGAGAGAACTCATGGTGGGAGATGACAGGTGATGGGAGGTAAGAGATGGCACATGGTGGGAAACAACAGGGGTTACTGGCCATGCTGAGCAGGGACATAGGACCCCTGGGCACCCATGGGTGGGACCCTGGTGGAGGCTTGCAACCCCCCTATGCTTGGCAGGCACAGCTCTGGGCTCAGCCCTGCGTGGAGGGGACCCTGTGCCAGGTCTGGGCATCCCCCAAGGTTGGCTCTACTCACGTGTGGTGGGTGAGGAGAACTTCACAATGAAGGGCTCCCTGCTGAAGGTGTCAGTCCCACAGGGTTCGCAGCCATCATCGTAGTAGTAGCTTCCCAGCACGGAGACCATGTCTGACCTGAGGGAGGAGAGCAGGGCAGCCCCCAGCACTGCTCCTGCCACAGCCAGGGCCCCCAAAGATACCCATCTCCTTTGGGGGCTGCTGGGGAGGGCAGCAGGTGACATCTGGCAGCATCCCTTACCTGTAGATGAAGAGGTACTGCTCCTTGTAGGTGCCCCGACCCAGGGGGACGCTGACCAAAAAGTCGTATGGGTGCTCCCCAGCACTGGGAGCAAGTTGTGGAGAGGGTGAGAGGAGGCTCCTGGTGCTTCCCAGCATCCACCAGGCTCTCTCCAGCTGAGCCAGAAGTGCCCTGGTGTGGCTGGAATCACCCCCCCAGAATCCCTTTGCAGTCACTCCCACACCAAGCCCTTGGGGTCACCTGTTGAGCTGGTCCATGAGGTCATTCACAGCACTCAGGTCGGCATCCCGGACCTCCTGCACCAGAACGATGTCGTACTCCGACAGGATCTGGGGGGACAAGCTCAGAGGTGCTCTCCCCTGGCCAGGAGCTGCTCTGGGGGGCCCCTGTGGTTGCCTGTTCTGGCCTGCAAAGGCTCCCAGGTTGGCAATGGAAGGGCAACAGGGACCTCAGGGCCAGGGAGGGGGCCCCTGTGTTGGTGTGCTCTGGCTTGGAAGGGCCCTGTCTGTCCACCACCCCCCTGTCCAGCAGCTGCTCCAAGGGAGGAACCTGGGCAGCATCAAATCCACCCAGCCTTGACTGGGGACCAGCAAGGGTGGAGATGGCCTGAGATGGAAGATGGTGATGGGGGAAGAGCAGGTGAAGGTAGATGAAGGCCAGGGGGATGGATGGATGGATGGATGGATGGATGGATGGATGGATGGATGGATGGATGGTTGGATGGATGGATGAATGGATGAAGCAGGTGTCCCACTGCCCAAGCTGGCTGCATCCCCAAGAGCAGAGCATGTCCAGGCCTGCTCCTCCCCCGCTACTCACAGAGACGATGATATTTGCCACGGTCTGGTTGGACAACTTGGTGTCCCCAAACGCTTTGATGTTGAAGGCACCAATCTTCAGCGTGGTGGCCACGTGCAGCAGGAGAGCTGCGACCAGCAGCGACAGCACCAGCCTCGAGGCTGCCATCCTGTGCAGAGGTGCAGAAGGGGCTCAGCCCTCCTGGCTGGGAGAGGGATTTGGGGCAGACAACAGGGATGACCAGGGTATTCCCACTGGCCATACTGGTTTCACTGGGAGGCACCTGTTTTCTAAAGGGACCATCAGGATGCAGGGATTGTACACCTCTGTTGCATGGGGCCTCATCCTACCTGTCCCTCCTGGAAGGAGGCAAGGTCACTCACAAGGCTGGAGTGGAAAATTCCCTGGCCAGCAAGTAAATGCCTTTTCACAGTGACACAGAGCAGTCACTTCCTCATTCTCCATGAGGAAGAGCTCAGCCTGGACACCTCTTGTGGCCTGGGTCTGGTAGCAGTGGCCAGGGACCCCAAAATCCCTTGGCTTGTGCCTCTCCCACCTTTCTCTGGATCAGTGCCAGACAAAAGACATCAGCTATGCTGGGACAGAGCAAGGAACAGATCCTCCCTGACACCCCTCCCCACCTTCCTCACTGCCTGCAGCATCCTCACCTGGGGTAACCTGCCCCTCCCCTGCCCCCCGTTCCCCAGCAGTGCCCCTGCCCCATCCTCACCCAGCTGGCTCCCTCAGGACCCTCTGCAAAGGCAGTGCTGCAGCTCCCACCCACGGGGAAGGCGTTTGGGAAGTATTTCCCGTGGCACTCGGCTGCCTTGGGGTAATATTTCACCAGCGTGTGGGATCTGAGCCCTGAGCCCTGCCCAAGCCTGGGTTCCTGAGCACCTGAACTCACCCAGAGCCTGAGAAACGGCCTGAGAGGACAGGCAAATGCTCCAGCTTTTGGCACACCAAATCTGAGCCTGAGGAAGGATTTGCTGGCCTCAGGCTCGCTTTTCCTTCTGGGGCAGCTGCTCTAGTTACATCCTCACTTTTCCCACTCGCACTCCTGCTCCAAACTCTTCCCTCTAACACCACAGTCCCTTCAGCTGATAACGCAGCCATTTGGCAATGCCATGATTTGGACATGCCAAAAATTGTCCAAAGCCTCATAAGTGCTCTCCAATCCTGGAGAGCACAGCAGCCTCTGAACCTCCCAGGCAGAGGCGCCTACAAGGAGCATATTCATCCCAAGCTGCACCCGGGTTTGGCCCAGCAGAGCATTGTGGTAGGATTGAGCTGGAGGAGGTGACACTGTCAAGGGAAGCTCCTGGGGGTGCAGGAAGAGAAGAGAGAGCAGGACCTACCTTTGGTGTTGTCCAAGGACTCTGGGAGGGGAAGGATCTGCACCTGCATTTATGGAGAGGGACACTCTCTCCTTGCCAGGTGGTTGCCCAGCCAAGGATCATGTGAGGCCGCAGGCTCCATATGGCATTTTTCACGGAAGCAAAGGTCTGCTCAGTGAAAAAAGAACTCTTTCAACCTCTGCCAATGCCTCCCACCACAGGTAAGGCCGAGAAGGGATTAAAATGACAACAAGAGCTCTGCAAGGTGGAATGAATGTCAGAGATCTCTTGTGGGGATCAGCAGCTTCCCAATACATGGCATGGGCAACTCTCACTCATCACCAGATACAAATTCTCTTAAAAAGTGTTTATTTCACCAACACGAATCCTTCCCATCCAGCACCCCACATTTCCAACAAGCTGTGAGTGTGTTCTGGAGCCAGCAGGAGCCATCCCAGTGTGGTCTTTGGGTGTGAAGCCGAAAGTCCCAAAAGAATGACAAATCCCTGCCATGGTGCCCATCCCCAGACCCTCCCCAGGCTGTCACCTGCCTCAGGTCCTGTCCCTGGGAGGGCCATGCAGTGCTGGGGGGTGGCAGCCCTCCACCCCAGCCACTCCTCCAGCTCACACAGCGCTGTCCCAGCGGCCTTGGCTGATGTCCCTGCCTCCAAAGGCAGCTGCTGTGTTTCCCAGGAGAGCCCCTGCAGTGTGCAGTGATCCTGTGGGCTGGGGGGCCCGGCCAGCCTCTCCCCTGGAGCCAGGCACCCTCCAGGGAAGGGGGGCTCCCCACAGTGGGATCAGGGCTGGACCTAGATGCCCCCACCAGGCTCCCCAGGCTGGACCCAGGGCCAGGTTTCCCCAGCCAAACCCTCCATGGTCAATCCCGCTTCAGGCCAGGAACCCCTCCAGGGGTCAGACCCAGGACCAAGACCCTCCTGAGCCATGGTCCCCCAGATCCTGTCTCACCCAGGCTAAGACCCCCTCAAAGTAGAGTCCCAGGGCTTAACACCACTTCTGGGCCAAGACCCCACAAAGATCAGAGCCCTTTCATGCCAACACCCCAGGGCTGGACCACCCTCAGGGCCAACACTCCCCCCAGGGCTAAGCCCCAGCGCCAAGACCCGCCCAGGGCCAGTTCTCTCCCAAGCCAAGAGCCGGAGTAGCCCAAGGAGCAGCCCCAGGGCCGATATCCCCTCACGCCCAGAGCCCTCCATGCTGAGACCCCTTGACTCAACCCCAGCACCAGCCCCCGGGGCCGAGATCCCTCCAGGGCCAAGACCCCCCTCAGGGCCAGACTCCTCCCAGGGCTGGCACCGCCTGAGTCCCCCAGAGCCAGCTGCCCCCATGTCCGGGTGCCCCCCGCCCATCTCCGGGCCCGGTTCCCTCACGGCCGAGCCCCCGTTACCCCCGCGGTTGGGCCCGCCAGGGGGAGCTGCGGGCGGCGGCAGCGCGTGACGGTTTTTGACCTGGCCGGGCCGCCGTAGCGGCCGCCCGTCCGCGCCGCCGAGGAGAGGCCGCGCCGAGCGGGGCCGGGACGGGAGCCATGAGCGACATTCGGCACTCGCTGCTGCGGCGGGACGCGCTGAGCGCCGCCAAGGAGGTGCTCTACCACCTGGACATCTACTTCAGCAGCCAGCTGCAGAACTCGCCGCTGCCGCTCGTGGACAAGGGCCCCACAGATCTGCTCGAGGAGTTCCTGTTCCAGGTCCCCAAGGAGCGCGGAGCGCCGCCCAAGGTGCGGCACGGACACGCGGGACGGGCCCGGGAGGCGCGGGGGACACAGCCCCGGCGGTGCGGATGGAGGGCAGGCCCCGGAGCTCGGGACGGGATCCCTGCTGGAGCGTGAGGCCTCAGAACCGCACGGGCCCCCTCCGGCGCGGGCTGCTGCTGGGGGCTGAGATGGGCAGGGCTGGGTCCCTGAGGCTCTGCTGCTGGGGGCTGAGTCCCCCAGACGACAGCGCGGGGTCCCTGGGGTGCTGGTGACTGAGGGTTTTTGGCAGGGAGGGGGCTGCTGGCCAGTCCCTGATGGGTTGCCCAGGATTCCGTGCCCCGAGGAGCTGTGGTGGAGGCCCTGGGGACTGCCCGCAGCCCCTGAGTGCTGCAGCTGGGCCCTGCCGGGGTTTTTGGGTGGGTTTGGGATGGAGCTGGGGCTCAGAGATGAGCAGTGAGGAGCCACAGCTGCTGGTGAGTGTTGGGATACGTGGCCCTGCAGCCTTCAGTGCTGCCGAGGCCAGCTCTGCCCCCCAGCTGCCCTGCAGTGTCCTCAGTGCTGGTATTAGCAGAGGGAGGAAATATTCCCCCCCAGCAATGTCAGTCTCATCTCTCACTTGGTGGGCAGCACTTGCAGGTGCAGCAAGCACCAGCTTTGGGTATCCAGGTGTTCAGATGAAACCTGGAGCTTTTCAGTGTCACCACATAAATGCACTGGTGGTTCAGGAAGCTTGAATGTGTGTGCTGTGCATAAAGATTGGGTCCCTCAGCCCAAAGGGAGGCTCTCAGCCTTTACTGTTCCTGTCTTTTCTCTTGGTTTGTGGTCCTTCAAGAGGCTCAGTGTATTTTACAGCTTTGCTTTTGTTTTCTTTCAGAGACTGACCCCACTTCAGGAACTTCAGCTCCTTGAGATCATGTGCAATTATTTCCAAGAGCAGACCAAGGATTCAGTCCGGCAGGTCATCTTTTCATCTCTCTTCAGCCCCCAGGGGAACAAAGCAGATGACAGCAGGATGGCTCTGCTGGGGAAGCTGGTCTCCATGGCAGTGGCTGTCTGCAGGGTTCCTGTGCTGGAGTGTGCTGCCTTCTGGCTGCAGGTACAGCTCCTGTGCGGGCAGGGGTGCCTGGGGGAAGGGGTCAGGGCGTGCTCCAGGGTGGGCACAGTGAGCTGGGGCACAGCTGGGCACAGTCAGCTGCTCCTCCCTGGCAGTTTCAGCTGCCCCCATGTCTGTGCTCTGGCATCAGGGAGAGCTTTGCCAATCCATTCATGTGGTGCAATGGAAGAAAAAATATTTGGGTGTTTTTTTTTACTGTCAGTGAAAGTTTTAATAATTCTCCCCCCCACCAAACCCTGCATATTGAAAGGGCTCAGTAGAGGGTTTGACCAAAGCAGGGAGCAAACCTTGGCAGTTTTTTTTCAGGCTTCACATTGCCTGAAGAAGCTGACTCTGGAGTTTGGGAAATAAACCCTTCCTGATGTGCAGGTTTGGGTGTGGAAGAGGCAAACCCCTGTTTGAAATTTGGGCACAAAATACTTGTGTCTATCTTCTGTGAATGCAGTAGGTTGGAGATCTCCTCTGTCTTCTCCTTTCCCACTGAGATTCCCCACTGTGGGCTTTGGGAAGTGCACCTTTGTTCCTGCTGCCCTTGTGGGATGTGCAGGAGTCACAGCTGACTCAGGGGCAAGGTGTATTTTTATTTCAGATGGCAGCTTTTAAGTGATGTGAGGATTCCACAGAGTATTTTCCACATCAAAAATATCAGGCATGGCAGCTGAACCAGTTGCTCTGGGACTGGACCAGTTGAACTACAGAATGGTTTGTGATGGAAGGGACCTTAAAGCTCATCCCATTCCACCCCCTGCAGGGACACCTTCCATTGTCCCAGGTTGTTCCAAGCCCTGTCCAGTGTGGTCTTGAACACTTCCAGACCAGGCTGGAGAGGCCACAGCTTCTCTGGGCAACTTGTGCCAGGCCTCACTGCCCTCACAGGGAAGAAGTGTTGCTGAAGTAATAAAAAAAATAAATCTCTAAGTAAAATATTGATCGAAAAGGTTTCAGTTTTAAGCCACAGATAGCACCATCTATTTTGACATTGCAAGACAATGGTTTTATTTCTGTGAGAGTGGGTGTTTGATGTGCTGAGGGAGAGCAACCACAGCAGCACAGTGCCTCGTGGGGAAGGTGGGGACCCAGCCCTTGAAGCAGCTTGTGGCAGGTGTGATCTGGTGTCCCCTGTGTGCTGTCCCTGCAGAGGACCCCAGCTGTGTTCTGTGTGAGGCTGGCCCGAGCCCTGGTCGATGACTACTGCAACCTGGTGCCAGGCTCCATCCAGACCCTGAAGCAGATCTTCACGGCCAGCCCTCGCTTCTGCTGCCAGTTCATCACATCAGTCACAGCTCTCTACGACCTCTCTTCAGGTAACAGTGCATCTTTTCGAGTGAGAGGTGCGGTGAAATGCAACAGGAATTAACTGTTGCAAGAGATGTAACTGGTCGAATCCTAAAGAGGTGTTACCATGTAATTATTGCCAGAGGAAGCTCAGGGGTGTGTCTGTTGCCTCATCTGACATTGGGTTGAGAATAAAAATAACCACTCTGTGACAGACTTAGAATTCCAGCCTGGTTTGGGTTGGAATGGACCTTAAAGCTCAGCTTGTTCCACCCCCTGCCATGGGCAGGAACACCTTCCACTAGACCAGGCTGCTCCAAGCCCTGTCCAGCCTGGCCTTGGACACTTCCAGGGATTTGGGATCCACAGCCTCTCTGGGAAACAAGGGAGAGTCTTTGCTGGAGAAGCAGCCAGGAACATCTGACACAAAGGGCGTTGTCCCCCACAGAGGGCAAAGGACATGGGACCTTGTTGACTGAGCAGCTCTGGGAGTGAAAGTTGATCTGTCTGAGCTCAGTCAGCCCTGAGAGAGACTCAGGGTTGCCTGTCAGTCTGATCCCTTCCAAAAAGGGGAGAAACAAGTTCTGAATGTTGGCAGGCTGGAGCAGGATTTCTGTGGAGCAGTGGTGAGAAACACAATCTACATAACTCCAGTGCACTCTTTAGCTGTGTGTGTGACCTCCCAGTGGTACAGCCTGCCTCAGCTTGTTGCTCAGACACTTGTAGGTGTCTAAAACAAGATTGATTTAGCTCTAGTCAGCCACAGAAAGCTCATGGTAGACCAGAGAACAGCCATACACTAAGTACCAACACCACCTCTAATCCAGAAAAGCAAGTGCTGTTATTGATAAAGGAAATGCTTTGCACACTCTTCTCCAGATAAACAGCTTGGCATTACTGAGAGTAAAAGAAAGGTTCAGGCTTAGTCTTTATGTTGTTTTTATAAAGTATTTGGTAGAGCTCAGAGCATATTTTATATCCCATCATCATTGCAGAAAGACATGTCAGAAAGGAAATAACTTGAGTCATAGGAAGTAATTTTTTAATTCCTTAGTTTATTTGAGATGTTTTTGGTGACACAAGAAAAGGGAGCTTGCTCTTCCAATCCAACATCCCCCTGTGAGAGGACATTGTGTCAGGGTTTCTTTTGTCTGTAGTCAAATTCATGACCATCTTTCACTTCTCACCTGAAGCTTTACATCATCTTATAATCCTTTATATGTCATGTAATTGTGTTGTTGCATTGTGTTTTTCCACAAGACACGTTTGTTTAGGTAAGTAAGTATTAAAAGAAATTAGTTAAGTTATTGGCACTTCCTTCTCTTCAGCCAACAAGCTTTTCCTATTTCCCTTGCCCATTGTACTTCCTGTGGCAAGGGATAAATGGAGACTTAAATTAGGGAAAAAATGAGCAGATGATGGGTGGCAGAGAAGAAAATGACAAGAGAATCTTTGCTGGGGAAGGGGATAACCTATCAGTGTTTGGTGGTGTCTTTGGAATAGCTGGGGAAGGTTACAGGAACATGGTTGTGTCCTGGAACAAATTATCTTTGGTGTCTTGGGAAAAACAGCAGAACTGGGGAGGTTCAGAAATTGTAATTGGGACACTGTAGCATGGGTGTGTGTGAGACTAATTAGAACCTGAACTAAAGTAATAAATAAAGTAATAAAGGCTCAGCTTACCCAGCATTAACTCTCCTGTCTGCAGATGACCTCATCCCTCCCTCGGACCTGCTGGAGCTGATTGTCTCGTGGATCTTTGAGGACCCTCGCTTGATCCTCATCACCTTCCTGAACACTCCCATCGCAGCCAGCCTGCCCATCGGCTTCCTGGAGCTCACCCCGCTCACCGGCCTCATCCGCTGGTGCGTCAAGGCTCCCCTGGCCTACAAGAGGAAGAAGAAAGCCTCTCTCTCCAATGGACACGCTCCCAACAAAATTGCCAAGGACTCTGCTTCAGGAGAAGACAGGGATTGCCACCAGCTGTACTCCAAGCTGCATCTGAGTGTCCTGCAGGTTCTTATGATGCTCCAGGGGCATTTGACAGAGAAAAACCTTTATGGGCGCCTGGGGCTGGTACCCTTTGACCACGTGGTTCCTCTGGTGGAGGACATTAACAGACTGTCTGATGAACTCAATCCTCTCAATGCATCCAAAGAGATTGAACTTGCTCTGGACAGGCTGGCTCAGGCTTTGCAAGTGGCCATGGCATCAGGAGCTCTCCTGTGCACCAGAGGTGAGTTGTCTGTGGGGCTGGCAGAGACCTGGCAGGGGATTCTTCTCCTCCAGAAGTTGTAAGAGGCAGTTTTGGGGTGAGGGAAAGTAAAGATCAAGGTGTTCACAGCATATGCAGTAGTTTCCCCCTGTTAGAAAGTGATAGTGCACAAAATAGTTCAGAAAAAATAGCTGGATGGAGAGTAAGAAAGGAGAGATCACTGCTGTGGGTGGGTCAGGCATTGCTTTGCAGAGTGGGGACTGATCCACAGCCCTGCACTGTGCACCAGGGGTTGTATCTGGGTGTCTGACATGGGGACACTTTGTTCCCCTCAGAATTGCCTGTAGCTATTTAAAAAGCACTGTTTGATTTTCTTCAGTTTAAGTTCTCTCGGTTTGCCAGCTGAGGAGAGGCCATGAAGCACATAAACCCCTGGGTGGGTGTGCTAGACAAAGAATTTGAAAAGCAAATAATACCTCTTCAACTGAAACTTCTGGGACTTCAGCTCACCTATAATGAGACCCCATTACAGGGTGTCCAAATTCAGCTAAACTCAGTAAAAAAGGGCTGCTAATGTGGCTTTTGTCTGGCTTTCCTGTCTCCAAAGCCACTTCTTCCCAAAAGACATGCAGAGAGATAAAAGGGAAGTGGCCCAACACAGGGCAGGGTCAGCCACACACACTCTTTTCTTGTGACATTCTCTTAAAACCAGACAATTTTAGGTTATACCAGAGGGCTTGAAGCTCTCCAACAGCTGGGGCATTAAGTGCAGACCACAGCTGTCTCTGCCTAAGCAGGGATCTGATGCTTTTGACCTGGCTGGACCAGTGCTGCTGGTCAATTTTCAATGTTCTTCATCATCTTTTTATAAAGTAACTCGGAGTGTTATAAGAACAAAGAGAAATCAGAGGTTTTTGATCTGAGGGCTGATTTCTGCTGTGTTTGTTCTTAGCTGGAACATTCTGAGCACTTGCTCTTTCTGTGGAAGGTAATTCAGTGTAAGGGGCTGCTGAAATACCAGATATTTCAGTGTTTTGGGGTTGTGTGTGTCTACAAAGGCAGGAGCTTGTTCTTAAGCTTTATCAAGGGGATATGTTGTTAGATTCCTTGGTTCTAGTATTCTGCTTTAGCAGAAGTTTGGAGATGGTAAAAAATGTGCAATTTCTAGTTGATAGACTCCAGCAAGAAAACCCCAACCCATACTTTACAGTAGCAGTGGTTAAAAAACCCAAAACCGATACAAACCAGGTACTGGGCAGAGTCACACCTTGTCCTTCCTGTGTCTCAGTTACTTCTTGTTGATGTATTGGTATTGCAAAATCCATCCTAAGGCTTCTCTGTCTTAAATGTCAAACATAAATAACAATAAAGGGGCTGGTGGGGAGAGCTGGTGAAATGGAGAAACATTTTCTCTCCTATGAAGGTTTTGGGCCTGAGAGGGATTCTGGATTTCCTGTTGACTCATGGTGATGACAGATTACTGAGAGATTCAGTAATCAGTAATTAATCGGTAAAATTAATTATTATTCAGTAATCTGACCTTCCTGGAAAGGACAGCAGAGAGAAAACCACTCTAATTTCTGTTTTATTCTTATTTTTAATGTTGTGTCTTCTTTCAGATGACTTGAGGACTGTGTGCTCCAGGCTACCACATAACAAGTAAGAGACTTTTTGCAGCTGTGTTTGCTTTGATGCATGTTCCAAGACACTCGAGGGCTGCTGAGACAAAATTTCCTCTAAAAATTTGTCCTTGTGGAATTTGGCCTTTGTTCGTGTGCACTTTAGCATGAGGATGAGGGTGAGACAGTGCTGGCTGCTTCTTCCCTGGATTCCTGACAGAAAGGGGCTTCACTGCTCCCACCTGTGGGTGATCTTTCCCAGTGTGTGTTAGAACAAAACCACAGGACAGGGAAATGAAATTCCAGCAAGGAACTTGCCCTTAAATTGTCCCATCTCTAATTCCCCACTGGTTTTACCTGACTCTAAGCTCTTGCCTTGGCAATTGCTTCTTGCCTTTTTGCAAAAAGAGCAGGGCTTTAAAAAGGGGCAGGGGGGAGGGAGGAAAAAATTCTCCTGAAGCTGTAAAGAACAGAATTGTGTCACTGTTCTCCTGGCTCTCAGCAGCGCTGTGAGTTGGACGTGACTTGTCCTTAGAGCCACGACAAAAGCTGCTCTAATCACCTCCCTCCTGTGTGAATTTCTTCCCGCAGCCTGCTCCAGCTGGTGATTTCAGGCCCGGTGCAGCAGCCGGCGCACGGGGCGCTGCCGCCGGGCTTCTACCCGCACATCCACACGCCTCCGCTGGGCTACCCCGCGCTGCCCGCGCACCCCGTGCAGACCTTCATCCCGGGCATGAGCTTCCCCTACCGGCCCATCCGCTAGCCCAGCTGTGCCCCGGCTTCCCTGAGTGCCAGGAAGCCCCAGAGACAAAACCCAAAGGCCCGGGAAGCGCCTTTTCCTCTTCGGAGCGAAGCTGAGCTCCGCCCGCGCCCTCGGGCCGCGGTGGGGCTGGGCGTGGGATGCAGATCCCGGGACAAAACCAGGGCATGGCAACGGGAAACATCGACTCCAAACCTCTGCAGCGTGTGGAAGCTTCTTTGGTGTTCCTCAACGGTGTTCTGCAGCAGCCCGGAGCTGTTTGCAGCAGGGTGAGCCCGGCTGCTCTGGCTGAGGGAGGGCCAGAGGGGAAGGCCTTGTGTGATTTTTTTTCCAAGCTATTCCACTCCAGCCTGCTTGTTTCTTTGTAAATGTTTGTATCTATAGCTACAGAGTATGTGTACACTGTATATTTTTGGAAAGGCAAACGTTTGTTTCTGAAGCACAAGGTAGAGTAAAGCAGCACTTCCTATTAAAGGAAACAATTTAAGAAGCATAAAAGAAATCTGCTGCTTTCTTTTTCGAACAATTAGAACAATTTCAAACAGTTGGATTCTTCTCTTTCAGTGATTAGAAGGCCCAATTTGTCAGGCCTGTGCTGGGGTGGGGACAAAACCCACCTGGGGCTGCAGTGAGCCATCAATCTCCCTGCTGGGGAAATGCCCTGTACACACCTCACTCGGTGCTTCTTGAGGATTTGGGGTGAGATTTGGGGTGTTTGGTTAATGCTGGCTGGGAAACTGGCCAAAAGCTGGCAGTGCTGTGCTGGCCAGCTCTGAGTGCAGCATGGGAATGCATGGAATCATCCTGGGAAGGACAGCAGAGCTTGCCAAAGGTGGTATCCAGCCCCTCTCCTGTCCTGCTGTGCTTCTCTGAGCCCCCTCTGCAGGATGAAAAAGCAGGAAAAAAGGGGCTCTTCCTACACTTCCGAGGGGTGACAGTGACCTCTGCTGCTGTCCTGTGAGGGGAGATGTGGCACCTGTGGTTCCCCACTGGCTGCAACAAAAAGGGCAAATTAAGGTGGGAAAATCTGATTTAAATGGAACAGCTGGAAGGAGGCTGTGGAAGTGGAAGGTTAATAATAACCATGGAGTAGTTAGGGTTGGAAGGGAGCTCTGGAGATCCCCTAGTCCAGCCTCCAGTTCAGCTGAACCCGTCATAAAAATAGGACCTTTAACTTTTGGTCAGGCACTTGGACTAGGCAATCCTTGTAGGTGCTTTCCGACTGAAGCATCCTGACTCATCTCGCTTTTTAGCGCCTCAACAACAAGGAAAAACCCTTAAGAACTTCTGACTTGAGGATTAGAACCATGAATGGCATCAAGTCCTTACACTGTACGACACTTCTGCCTCCTATCCCTTTGAAGGACTGAGGGAAACTTCCGGCCAGGTGACCCAGGGGCGTGACCAACTCCACCTCCTGTTCCCCAAGCGCCTGCGCTCAAGGACGCTCCCTTAATTACCCCTCCTTTAATTACCCCTCCCTTAATTACCGACCGCGTTCCCCTCGCGGCGCCGCCCACGTGGCCTCAGGAGACCGCCGCGCCTCTGTGCGCATGCGCGGCGCCCGTGGCCACGTGCCCTGCGGCCAGCCAATGGGGAGGCGCGTTACTGCGCGGTGCCCGGTTGAGGAAGTGCCGCCGGTGTCCGTGCCCGGCGCTCCTCCGTCCGGTTCCGCCGCCCGGGATGTGCTGAGGGCGCGTCCGCCGCCCCTCCCAGGTGAGCGGGGAAGAGTTTGGGGGGCGTCTCTGTGCTGGGGAAGGGGGTTGGCGTTGTCATGGCGATTTCTCCCGGGGCGGGCCGGGCCCCGCGCAGTTGCCATGGCAACCCGGCCCCCCCGCCCGTAGGTCGCGGCGAGTCCGGGCCCTGGGGCTGTGCTCCCGTCCTTCCCGATAACGCAGAGCTGGGTGCCATTGTCATCGCCTGTGTCCGTCCCCGTTTCCTGCTCCTTCGCGGCCGGATTCCCCAGGGAAGGGCGGAAGCCGCGTGCCCCGGGCCCGGTGTTCCCCGGGCAGGCCGGGGCCGCTCGGGCTCGCTGCGGTTTGTTTGCTGGCGGCTGGCTGTGGTGGAGCGGTGTGCGGAGGCCACCGGCATTGCTGTGTCCAGCCAGGAGTTAAACGTGTCGTGGGCAATCCACTCCTGGTTACAGGCATCAGACGGTTTTCGTGTCCCCTGCTCGCTGCCTGAGTGTCTGATTGCGGTACCGTGTTGAGTTTGAGCTCGGCCTCTCTGTACCTGTTGGTTTTTCCCGACTTTGCTGTGCTGCAGCAGCTCCCAGCCCGCTCTGGGTGATCTTGCCGAGCTCCTGACCCTTGGCCACCTTTCCTTCCCCTCTGGTGTCTAATTCACAGACACAGGGACATTAAATATCTGCACCTACCTCAGACCAGGCTCCTTTAGATGGATCTTGCCCCTCTCTGTTCTGCTGATTCCCAGTGTCCTGCTTTGCTGCTGGGCCACAGATGTTCTCACTGAGCGTGGACGCTTTCCCCACTTGTGGTGCTCAACACAAATTTTGCATTTCTTCAAGCTCCAGTCCTTTTTTTAATCTACCAGGTTATAGTTTACTTGGCTTTTGGCATTGTGGGAGCTTTCTGCAGCTGCCAGTAGCTTTAGATTTCACCTTCCTGCAGATCTGTGCCTGTCCCAAAGGATCTTCAGCCACTTTTGCATTTCTGTTCCTCTCCCCTTCCATCCAGTTGTTATGAACCTGCTGAATGGACTCTCTTTTCACTGTGGACTCATCCTAAATGATTTTAATCTAATTAATTCCTGTAATTAATTTCTTTTAATCTGCCTCAGACTCTCCTTAGTCCAGGTTAGTATCCTCAGAAGTCTTTATGGGGGACACTTGGGAGCATTTTGGAGCACTAGAGCATGGTGTCTTTTCAGATTATCCAATTGTCTGTTGGAATGAACTCTAGCAGGTGTCTCACAAGTGAGGTGAAAAAGAAAACAAACCAAAAAAATCCCCAAACCCAGCTGCTGGATCTGTCCAGTGTGTGATAATTAATGTGTGAGCTCATTTACAAGACAAACCTGAGCAGCCTCGCCCCCTCAGCAGCAGTGACAGGGACCAGGCTTTTAAAGCAGAAGCTTTTCTCTGGCAGGTTAAAAAGTAATTCTGTTACATCTTGTAAACTGCTCTAATTAGTGTTTCCACACCTGGTGGCAAAGGAAGAACCATTTGCTCGTGGTGCTGACAATATATTTTTGCTCTTTGAAGCTGCTGCTGTTTCTCTCAGCAGATTGTTTGATGAGCTTAAGGCAAATTGACTTCTCGTGTCTGACTCCTTGGGAAGTGGCTGTGCTGTGAATGCCTCTTAAAACCTGTGGCATTCTTAATTTTCACTTCTTTTCCTAAACCAGTGTCAGTCATCCTGACTCCTGCTATCCACACTGGAGGTGGGTGTGGTGAAACATTGTGGGAGCTGCCAGTGGAATTTAGAAAATGCTCTTTAGCCAAAGAGCCTTTGACAGAGCACGTGCATTTATTTTTATTACCAAAGTCTGGTGCTTCTCTCATGTCTGGTGTTATTTCTTTGCCAGTAAGGTTGATCTTCATTTGCATGTGGGGATGGGGTTTTTTGGGGGTGTTCTGAGTACAGGGGTTGGGCCAGTGCGGTCTGTGAGTCAGTGCTGGGCTCAGAGCCTGCCAGCTGATTTGAGCTGGTCCTGCCACCCCAAAAGCCATTCTCTCATTTCCTGCCTCCTTTGCCCCTCTCTGGCCCCCACCCCAGCCACTCCCAGTGTAATTCATGGAGTGAGAGGTGAAGCTGAGCCTGCAGAGGCTGACTCAGGGTGCCAGCACTGCTGTAAATACCTGAGGAATGGCAGGGGCCAGCTCAGGCCCTTCCTGGCAGGGCTGATTCAGAAATCCTGCAGCTCTGCCTTCCTGAGGCTCCCAGGCTGCTGGGCTGGGCAGGGATTCCCTTCCCTGACGTGTTCAGGTGCTTTTAAAGAACCAATTGCTGTTCAGAGTGACAGCAGAAAAGATCTGCCTTAGATCTGCACCTTATCTACAAGCTGGGAAGCCAAGAGCTCTCCAAAACCACTGTCAGAGTGGGATCACTCCTCCCTTCCTGGGTCTAACCTGTCACAGCAGGTCTGGGGCTTCAGTGCACAGTGTTGCTAAAAGACTCCTTTTGAGCTTCAGGTTTCACGCTGTCCCCCCACCCACCTTCCACCCTGCAGAGAGGTAGGAACAGGAGCTGCTCAGTTTTCCAACATCAGCTTTTAATAAAGTTTTTAATTTCTGCTTCTCAACTTATTGCTGTGTTGTCAGAGCAGACAGCTGTGCCAGAATCCATTTTAAGTGTTGTTAGTTTAAAACAGCAGCAGTGGAATTTTTGAGTTGAACGTGAGAGTCTCATGCTGGAAAAAGGAAAGGAAAGGAACCCATTTTGGCTCACATTTTAAAGTTGGGATCTTGGAGAGGTGTTAACTTTGGGGCACTTCTCTGACAACTGAGGAAGGAATGTTCTTTTCAAGCTTTTTCAAAATGTATTTTATTTGAAAGCCCCTTGTTTGCAGTAACTTCTGGGCAGTTGTGTTGGTGTCTCCTGTGAGGGTGTAGGTGGAGGGGCTGGGTTTTGTAGATGCTGCTCCATAATGAGGACAGTGTGTAGGAAATGGAGGCAGTCTCAAATTCCCTTCCCCAGGGGTTTGTAGGCTGCATTTCTCGCTGGGTTTTCAGTCACTACATTTTCTGTGTGCCTGTTTATTCTAATTCAGAAAGGGCAGCAGGCCTGCAGGTGTGATGGATTGTTTGGGGATTTTTTGTTTTTTGTTTTTTTTTGCAGGAAGAGGAAACTTGCTGTGTATTAAATGTCCCCTCCAGCCAGGATCTTGTTGCCAGTGTGCCTCTTTTGTGACCCTTGGGTTTGGACTCCCCACAGTGCCACTGTCACAAAGCAGATTTTCCCTTCCTCGTCTTAACAAGAAAAGATTTAACAGCAAAACCTTCTTAGAGATTCTTGTTTGCCATTCCCCAGAGGAATTGCTGTATCTGGGGCAGCAGGAAGCCAGGCCTTGTGCAGTGTGCTTTAGAGACACTTCCTTTGGGGACTGACTCCTGTGAAATCCATGGCTCCAGTAATGTTTCCAGAGCTGTAAGGTGAAAGAACAGCCCAGAAAGTGACCCACATACAAAATATTAATGATTTCTGCTGCTGGAAGTCTGACAAGTCCAGCTCCGAGTGTGCAGAAGATCAGGGGTATAAAAGGATTTTCACTAACAGTAAGTGTTCTTTATTTCTAATAAATAACACTGCTTGCTACACAGGTAGAACTACATTTTGCCTTCTCACCTTTTAATATCCTTTTGGGGACTGTTTCAAATCCTGATCCTTCATGGCAGGAGGCCAAGGTGTCAATGACAGGGGTTCTGGGTGTTTGGCTTGGAGGCTTTCAGTGCTGTGGTGCACACCTCGATGAGGGCAGAATGGAAAATTGTGTGGAGCTCTAGACAAGGCACAAATCTCTTCTTAGAACCGT